TCTGAAGGAGAAACAAGCTAGAAAAGAACTTTATAAAGACGATAACCTGCTCCCTTTTCTGAAGGGAGAGTGGGATCACCCTGCTCTCGCCAGCCATAAAACAGCTGGCAGGGCTAATTTTAGAAACTCCCACTTTGCAAGTATCATTCTTCAAAAATAGGCATTTGGGACCTGTGAGATCCTGCTAGAATTGCCAGAGATTGGATCAGATTCTGGGGAGTGCCCTTTTCCAAGCAGCAAATGGGTGCCTGTAGCTTGAGGTCTAGGGGTGTGTTGTCAGGGAACATTAGCTTATGCGTTCGAAAGTGTAGTTTCAATGAGGTGACGCAGGCTTGAACAGGCCCTAAATGAAGCCAGTAAAAATCTGGGCTCTCCTGAATTCCCATCACACTGTTTGAACTCCTAGTGTAGCTAGGAGACCTTGTTCATATGGAGAGTGCATCAGTTCAAGTCAAGGAGCACATGTGAGGCTGCTTGTGCTGAGTTTCAAGAGTAGCTTGCTTAGGCCCAGCATAAGCCTTTCTCTAACTGGTTTAAACTGAACCAACGACTTTGTCCACACTAGAAGCATTTTACCAGCATAATAAAAGCTTAGTATGTTGGCAAGGTGCAAAGAGTGTTGAAACCACAGTGGTCAAGCTGTAGTTTGTACAGCAAAACCACCCTGTGGGCAAAGTATAAACAGTCAAAAAGCCCAAGGCTGAATTGCTTCAGTTTTTGCAGATTAGTCTAAACTGCAGAGATTGAACCAATAAGCAAATGAACAGACATTCACTTTTGATTCAGGAAATTCAGCCATATGCCTGCAGTGGCTCAAGCCAGAAGGGTGCTAGGGCATGGCTCTCTGGCACGTAGCCTGCATGGGCTGTGTTCACTTGCTGTTCCTGCTGCCTCTGAGGTTTCTGGGATTTGCAGTCCACAATCACAGCAGCAGAACTCTGCAGGGTTGCTTGTCATTCCCTCTTCCTGCTTCCAGGTGCTCCTGGGATTTGTAGTCCACAGTTGCAACCAGCACTAAGTAAGCGGGGTAGGGCAGCTTCATACTTGGGGGAAGGGAAGTTTAACCCACCTCCCTGGTCCCAGACTAGGGTAGCCATTCATCCGGTTTTATAGAGGACAGCCTCGTTTTCTGCTACTCTGTCTTCTGTCCTTTTGATACGAAACCAGATGCCTTTATGTCAGACAGGTGGAAGTCTGTGGAGGAAAGTAGAGGACATAAAGGTGCCTGGTTTTGTATCAATAGGACAGAGTAGCAGAAAAGCGGGCTGTCCTCTATAAAACCGCCAGGATTTGCTGAGGAGTAGTGAGCCAGCCCTCACTGCTCCAGCTAGGGAGAAGAGGGTGGGGACAGCCCAGCCCAGCTCAGCCCAGCCCAGCTCAGGGTTGCAAAATGCTGGGATGCTGGTGGACTCTGCTTTAACTTGAACCGGGAAGGAGTCTGGGACAGAAGTTTCATAAACCGGTTTGACCTAAATCAGTTAAGTCTGATACTACATTCAACCAGGTTTAGCTGAAACCAGTTTCAGCCATGTATGTGCACTGGCTGAACCAGTTTCAGCATTTATGTGTAATAAACTTCTATTCTGTTACAGGTTTAAACCAGATTCTGATCATTTAAACCGGTTTATGCGTAACTTCTGTCCCTAGCCATACTTTGTCCTGGGATAAAATGGTTTATCCCAGGACAAAAGTGACATCTATTTGTAGCCAAAGAGATTGGTGGTGAATTGTCCTCTTCATACCCCAAAGTAACCTAGCTCCTGCTGTCAGAGGAGTTAAGCTAAAGGCTAAAGTAAGCGTTCTTAAACTGAATTAAGAGCATTTATGTAAAGGTTTGCTTTAGTTTAACTACACAGACCCAAGCTGTACAGACAATGCCAAAGCCTCAGTTACTCCTTGCTTGTGCTTGGGACTTAAAACGGATTATTCTCTGACAAGGAAACTCCTCTTGTAATGTAGTTAGCCCAGAGAAAGATAGGGCTAGCAGCACAGAAAAAAACACCCTATACTTCCTCCTCTAGCAGACAGTCTCAATCACATAATTGTCCCAGAGCTGTGCAGCCCATTCCTGGATCACAAATGAGGATGCGGTGAGATGAGAGACATGTATTTTAAATGTCTAAAGGAAACCAGAAGTAATCCTATTTAAAACATATTGTTTGCTTAAGAAAACAAACTTGTTAGCACAGGTGGAGGTTTTCCTTCCTAGAGTCTAAGAGGGAGACAAGGGGGGGAAAAAACCCTGTCTTTGACCTTGTTTCTTCCAAGTTGTGAGTCAAGGACTAGATTTCCACGGCTACCATATATAGAGATATAAATATATCTATAGATATCTAGATATAGATATCTATATATCTATCTATATCTATAGAGATCAAATATATATATATATATATCTATATATATATATACACACATATATATATAGATATATATATATAGATATATATATATATATGACCATGGAAAGGACAGTGAATATATTCACCAATGCATAGCAACAGTGAGAAGGATTTCAGTACAGTCCTATAGGGGAGCAATGGACAGACCACTTGCAAAATCTTGGCCTTCATGCCACAATGGGGGCTACATGGCAGGACCCCTGCCAACTTTGGTGGGTGCAACATTGAGCCTTATCAAATCAAGAGACTCAGGGGAAATGCAAGGTTATGCTCACACTCACTGGGCTCTAGCCAAATGAATCATGTCACCTCACAAGAGCTTTTTTTTTTTAATGTGACAGAAGAAATGCAGCTGGTCAAACTATAAAAGCTATGTTCCCCAGTTCCACAGAAAGGTGACAGAGCTTGCAAACTAAACTCAACATCTGCTCAGTGCCACACCGATCTTATGAGCATATGCATTCCCCAAAGAGTGACCTCTGGGCCCACAATGGGATTAAGTGCATCCTCTCCTCCAAACAAAGCTACGCATGTGTAGCCCCTTGGATTTGCACGTACCCACTGGACTACACAAAATATATAGGTCAGTATTCTAGATATATTTCAACAAGAGGAAAAATGCTGAAAATATGTAACTGGGAACGGGGATGGAAGCATACCCCCACTAAGGCACCTTTCCTGCAACACTTACACATGTACCTAACTTCATGAAGATGGATTCATATGCTTGAATGCTTGTCGGGACAGGGCCTAAAGCCAGGTTTTACAAACCTGAGTGCCTACACTTATATTCCTAAATCCACGTGTAAGTTCTTGAATAACAGTGGCTTTGTTTTCTGATGTCCCCAGTTTCTCAGCTGCTGAAGCTAGTAGATGCCGTGAATCTTCAGAACCACGAAAAGCAACTGTGCTTTATGGGCCTAACGTGATGAACCCAAGCTGGACCCATTTTCTCCTGGTGTATTTCCATGCATCTAATTTTAAAGGCAGTGCAGGCATTTTAAACACATTAGCTGTTAACATGTGGCAAGAATATTGGCTTCTCGTCCCTGAAATTGCACAAAAGCACACAATATCTGAATCTGTGTTACGGAAGAGGAAACCACTGGTTGCATTATAAGGAGCTTCAAACTTTGCAGCCCTTCAGGAATTAAAAGAAACCAGCCTTATCACCCAGGAATAGTTTTGCTGAGAGAATTCCCAGCATGCTTTCTGAACAACTTCACCATAAAACTAAATGCCTGATTATTTTACAAACTAACGTATGCACGCGCGACCATCTTCATGGACATTTGGTATGTTTAACAGGATACAGCAGAGATGCAGGGCCTTGTCTTGGGTCCTTCTTTAATAGGTTTATTCCAGTTGCATGGACACATGAAAGAGGGATTTTCAATATGAGCAGCAGCCAAAATGAATGCATGGCAAATTAATTTAGTAAATGGCTTTATTCATTGGAGCTGAGCAGGATTCACTGCACTTGAAATAAAACCGAATCTCCTCCCCACTTTTTCCATTGTCTTTTGCAGCACATGGCCAATCGACTGTGGGTTAGTTAAATTTCATGGAACTATATGCAGTTAAGGGAGGGGGAAATGCCATGCAAACTAGCCATCGAACAAAAGCCTCTTGAAATAATTGATCCAAGCTCGGTATGAGTAGATCCAAGAAGGGATTCTTCTTATAATTAACCATGATACGTAGGCAGAGCCACGGAGCATTCACCATCTGTTAGCTATTAAAAACGCAAGTCTGGCAAGGGAAAAAAAAGTGGGGGGGAGAGGGAGGAGGGACGAGAAGGAGAATACAGTAGACAAGGAATAAAAAGTTCCCAAACGTAAACTGGAAAAGATTTCTCCACAATGATTTAGAATTGTAGTAGAGGTACTTATTTGTTGAGAGACATCGGATAGCCTTTTTTTTTTTTGTTAAATTTTCTTTGTTTTGCTAAGCATATATTTAAGGAAAATAGAAGCAGCAAAACCAGGGGGAAAAGGTTTGATCCAAGCTGCTTTTCTGTCACTGTGAGCTAATCCAAAGCGAAACACATCAAGAGAAAGACAGCATTCAGACGGAAGCAGCACGACTGAATTGGCTAATCTTGGTAACTCTTTCAACAAGAAGCAAAAAAAGTTTCTGCCTTAAGATCGCAAAAGTCCAAATCTGAGGATCAACTCCAATGACCCCCTTCAGGGTAGCAGCGAGACTGAGGAAAGGATTCTCTGTCGGATGTGGAGTCACTTGGTTTTGACTTCAGCGCTGCACTAGAAAGACGGTTTCGCTCTCTCTTTCTCTCCCTGCCTCGGAGAGGGAGAGAGGAAGGGGGAGAGAGAGGAACGTGGAAACAAAGCCGCAGCTTGTATTTCACATGTTTTGGCAGCAGCGTGAATTCCCCACTCCCAGTCTTGATGGGAAGGACAGACGTTTTACCTCTGTAGAAAAATCTTTGGACTTTGCCTGGCTGTGGGAAGAGGACCCCTTTCCCATCTCAGCAGGGGGCAGAAGCCACTGGGGCACACAGCACAATGAGACTTTCTGCATGCCCACGGACATGCGCGCGTACACCCCCTCCACCCCCAGCCCATGCCAGATACTAACCGTTACACCACTGAAATGGGTGCATCAATGAGTCCCAAAGGCTGCCTCTTGCTAGGAAAAGGGAAACGAGGAGGAGGATCCTTCCTCTTGTCAGACCCTCGAGGAGATGGGGAGCATAGCAGCACCCAGAAGAGCTTGCTCCCTCCCAGCAGCCGTCCAGGGAGCAGGCGGGATGGGCTTGGAGGTGACAACAGAAAAATCCCAGGGCAGATGATGATGGAGGGAGGAAGGCTTGGGCAACTGGGGCCTCTTGGTTGCTCCAATTGCAAGGCACTAGCTGCTGCTCAGGGGTTGTTTCCTACTCCCTAGGACATTGTATAGGGCTGACAAGAAGCAACCTCCTCCATGAAACCCCACCCCTCCTGGCTTATTATCCGCAGACAGAGCCAATCCCCAGCTGAGCTGCCTGCCTCATTACTATGCTTTCTGTGTAAAGATTGTGTGTGATAGGCTGGCTTTGAAGTGCCTCTCCAGCCTATGCTTCTCAGGCAACAGGCAGTGTTTGCTTTGCTGCATATGTACTTAGCTAATACAACCCAAGTTGAAATGACTTTTTGAGAGCCTGGGAGCAAACTCAAACACAGCGCCGTTTGCTTTGCATGGGTGTAAGGGTCACCAAGGAGTCCTCTAAGAGTTAATGATTGCACATGCATTTTTTCACAAGGGGACTGTATTAAAATAGCATCACAGAAGGAGCTGGATGGCTCTTATTCTCAGCAGTCTACATGCAGGTTGTGAATATAATGGTGAACTCTGAATAGTTTTAGCAGCACGCTTAACTCTAAATGATGTATTCCTTCCCTCACATCCCAGAGGGTGCGCCTACACGAGACGCTTACTGCGCATTAGCCCAATAACGCGGCACAGTATCGTGGCGTATAAAATCCGTGCTAATAGCCTACCGTGCAGTGTTGTTAGGCTAATGTGCAGTAAGCAGCACAAAAAAACACGTGCCGGTGCTACTGCACAGTAACTCTAGTTACTGCGCTTTTAGTTAGCACTTCATTAAGCAAGGAAAAGTAACTAAGGTGCATTAATGAACGTGGTAGACACACCCAGAAAGGATTATTGTATTTTGTAGAGCTGGTATTTGCCATCCCTTGCTACGCCCTTTGCAGTGTTTGAAGTCAGGACCGGTCAATAAGTCTGTCCGCTTGCAGGGCATCTAGTGTACATAGCCACGGTTGCAAAAGTGAGGAAGACAAAGTTTGAGTGCTTCGGAGAATAAAGGAAACCGAGTGGTAGTAGACACGAGGAAGCTGATGGTTTAGTGTGGGATTTCTCATCCTTCCCACTCAAACAATGGGGTTATTAGAAAGAGGATGTGGGAATACATAGTCTACAGGTTTGGTTTAGCATGGCAATTGCTCAGCCGGGGAGTTCTTTGGAGCAGAGACTCTTTTTATGTTATATGCTGTTACAGAGCCTAGTGCAGCGGGGCACAGGGTTGCTGCTCTGAGCCAGGCTCGTGGCAAACAACGCCGTGGCTCCCCTGCTCCACGCACACAGACGAGGCCCTTCCACAGCACAGCAAGCCCAGTCGCGGGCTCTGTCAGTGCTTTCGGCCTCTGGATTAATTTGCTGATCCTCACTCAAACAAGTTTCCCCTCGTGCTCCGCACTTCCCTGATCCCGGCTTTACCGAACAATGGCTGTGCCCTGAGTTGAAGGCCTGATTAGCACCCGGGCACACAATGGGAGCTGCGCAGCTGCAGGGCCCATAGCACGGGAGGTAAAACGGCAAAATCAGATGGGCACATTTGAGGACAATCCCTGCCCGTGATGTTAGCTAGGATCTGGCTGCAGGGGCTCTGCCCAGCCCATTCCTTTGCCCGTTTCCCAGGACCTCTTAGGGCCTTGTTCGGCTGCAGAGCCGTATTCAATACTACCGAGAAGCCCTCCGTGCCCTGCCCAGCTCCAGCCCCATATTTTTTGTTACCCAGAAGCCCTGGGCTTGCTATTTGGAGTCAGTGCCATTGTCCTTTCCTGGACAGTTCCTTTATGCTGAATGTCTAGTGCCTATAATATAAGCCTCAGGGGCAGGAGATTTCCCTCCCTGTCAAATGCCTTTTAAAAAGAGTTAGCCCCAATCCTGACCCTCTGCCCACTCTCCCACACAACAGTGCCTCTTGTTGACAAAGGCTGAGAGAAGCATTTCTCCTGGTCTCCCTGGAAGCAGGATAGGCACCTTGCCAGCCCGCTGCTTGCCTGGTGCTCAGGCCTGCCGAGACACTAAGCCAGATGCACCGCGGCATCCCAGACAGTCTGGCTAGCATCCAAGCCGAGCGACTTGCCCTTCAAAGCGCTCAGAGCCCTCATTGCCACATGTTTATTAGATGCAAGCTCTTGATATATGGGGCTGCCCAAGCAGCCAACTGGTGTCAGGAAGTGGAAGAAGAATGGAGTTATATTAAGAGCGGCTGGACAATGCGTCCCCGAAGCACCGTGGTGCCAGTTCTCTGCGGCTAAATTTGATCTGAACTTTCTCCACATACTTACTTTGGGGTGGGTGGGATGGTATTGTAGCCACTATTTATAGGCTCTTCCAGCAGCGTTTCAGTCCTGGACCCTACAGCCTTTTACAAGAGCATCCACATCACCCACTGAAGCTGTAACTTGGGATGCTCCCTTCCTATCCTTCTTCTTCCTGCTTCCTGACCCTCTTGCCAGCTTTCCTGCTCCTCCTGCCCCCCAGGGTTATGCAGCACGTGAGCTCCCCTTAGACTTCAGCGGGCCAAGGATATTCCAGGCTCTCAGTGGGAGCTCTGCAAACCATGTGGTTTTCAGCCACATGCTATTTCCAACCCAACCCCAGCCTGAGTCAGACCTCAGCAAACCCCATGAAATCAGCCACATTCATCCTGATTTGCGGCGGGGGGGGGCTAAACAGTGTCTTAAAGCCATACCCACGTTTCGCAGCTTGATCTTATTTCTAGCTACGGGTAGAAATGGTAACCTCCTTCCCCTGGCACTCAGGAGGCCCGGAGGTGAACCACCAAGCTTCTGGCGTCCCAGATCTCTGGACCGAGTGCCCTGTGGTTAGAAAGGATCCACAAAGCTGGAAACTGAAGCTGCCTGGCCACCTAAAAACTGGTCCTTGGGCACCTGCTGGTGGTCAGTAAGAACACAATGAGATGAGGTTGCTTACAGGGACCAGGCTGGGAAACTTAAGGGGAATAAAGAGGAGGACTAAGAAGGGGCTACTTTTCACCTGTCTTTTTTTTTTTTTAATTTTCTCCAGATCTTAGGCTCCCAGTTGAGGGCTCTGTAGGCTCTTTGCTTTCTCCAGTAGCCTGGCTCAGTCACATCAAACCAAGCAAGAGGGTCTCCGACAGGCAGACTTGCTGTCCTAGCCCGAGCAAGAATCGGTTTCCCATAGGCAGGACAAGCACAAAAGAGCCAGTGCTTCCCTAGCGTGGGTGCTTTGAAGAGCAGCGCAGACGTCCTTTATTCAGAATCCTTCCCCCGCAACGCGTGTTCCTCTTGCTCCTCGCAGGCTCCTGAATCTCTGTCCCTGCCGTGAGGGTGCGCGCCAGAAACGAACGGGCTAGAGCAGGCCTCTTGGTGCAGAAAGGACTTTCCATTGCTAACAGGGAAGTTCATTTTTGCTGGCCCCGGTTTCATTGGCGGGCGTCCGATGGCTTCTGGCGGAGTGCAGCTTCTCCATCTGGTGGTCTTTGCTAAACACGACAGCAGGCTCAGCCTTTCTCACTTCCACCGTACTTAGGTGATGTACTGGCTGTGCTGCCCTGGCTGCTCCCTGGTTTCTCCGTCCACATGGCTCCACTTTAGATGGCAGCCTTAGCCCTTTATCTTGGGGGCAGACATGGATCCTATTTATCGTGGGAGCTGGATGAATCTCAGGGCCTCGTTGCACCTTACACTGCGGGCTGCACAAACATTGACTGATGTTAGTGCTAGCTTCGAGTTTGGAGTTGTCACACCCTTAGGCTAGAACAGCGGGTCTCAGCTCAACCTTTTTTTGTATCAGGATCCATTTGTAAACATTGATGGCCCGACCTGACCCAGTGCCCCGCAATCCTGGCCTGCTGCTCCCAGCTCCCCAGTGCATGGAGCAGGGGACCCCTTGTGTGGGCCCGGGGGGGGCCAAGCAGCCCCTCGGAGGCTGGAGCTCTGCCAGCCTTCAAGGGAAAACCTGCAGTTTCCCATGTTCTTCTCCTTCCAAAGGAAAAGCCATTTTTTAAAAAGTTTGTTGATCCATATTTAAAGTTTGTTCACAACCCTTTCATGCATTCTCATGGCCCGCTTTTGGATCGTGACCCATGGGTTGAGAAACAGCGATGAAGAAGCCTTCTCTGACAGTCCTCTACCTGCATGGCTGTGACTTGTCACTGGAGGCCTGGGCTAGGGACAGAAGTCGCACATAAGCCAGTTTAAGTGACCAGAAGCTGGTTTCAACCTGTAACAGAGCAGAAGTTCAGTGCACATAACCCAGTTTCAAAATGGCTGAAACCGGTTTGAGATAAACCTGGTTGAATGTAGTATCCGACTTCACTGGTTTATGTCAACCCAGTTTAATGAAACTTCTGTCCCAGACCCTGGTGAGCAGGGGCAGGACTAGGAGATGTACCTCTGAGTTTCCCCTACAGGGCTGGTGACCCAGGACAGGCTTCTACCCCTGCTCTACTAGAGGTCCTGGGATACTGGAGGACGTCAGCTTGAGCAGCACATCGGTGAGGAGTGGCCACATACTAATGGACCAGGAGCTGGGGACTGCGGATCAGAGATAATCCTGCCCTGGAGCGGATTAATTTTGAGCCACATAACGAGTGCTTAAAACCGCTTTGAGGTATTAAAGTGCACACAATCCAGGGGTTAAGAGCTCAAGGAGCTGCCCCAAATTACCACGTAATGAGGCCCTCAGACATGTTCCCGCATGGATGCCAAGTCCTGCCCTAATGAAGTGCCTGGCGCAGAACACAAGGAACGTTCTTCAGTTCGGTGCTGCCCTCTCGTGGCCAGTGTGTCTGGCTGCCTGAGGCCTGCTTGTGCAAAGGTTGTAATAATGAATGCTGCTAGTAGCAAGGCCCCTGGGAACATGGCAGGAGCAAAGCTGGGCTGGATCCCTATGTGGGAGTGCACTGGGAGCCACTCGTTCCAAGTGGGGAAATCCCCGCCGCTTGGCGGCTTCTCAGCTTGCTTTCTTACTCTTTTCCATATGAGCCAATGTGCGTTCTGCTACAGGTCTGCTCCTGAGCGGGAGCTAAGGCTCTCCCTGCTCTTCTCAGGACTCCTCCAAACTCCTTCTCCGTTTCTGATAGCTCCTCGTTGGGATGTGTCAGTGAGGGTCCTGCCTTAAGATCTTCCTGCTACTGCTCACTGGGGCACCTGCAAATTGCCTTGCTCACCCCAAACTGGGGACTAGACTCTAGCAAAGGGTCCAGGGCTGCTTGGATAAATATTGACTTCCTGCCCTATCCTCCCCTGGCCATTTCAGCGTAGCCACAACCAACCACAAACCGTGGATCATGGGCGCATCGTGGTTATACGAGATCCTGAACCAGTGCCGCAGCTTGTACGGCCTGCAGAGCGCAGGCTCCGCGACCATGAGCAACCACAAGAAGATCCAGGAGATGGTGAGGCTGAGGGACACCACGTCGCTCGTGGACCTGCTCCCAGGTGACACGTGCAAGGCCATATGGGAGTGCATCGACCACACGGACCTGGGTAAAGACCACAAGGACCTGAACTGGCTCATAGCCCACCGAGCCCTGCCAGTGAGGTCCTGGAGACGTAGAGAGGGTCAGCTGGGGAGACCCAGCTGCCCGTGGCTCAGCTGCCACAGAGCCACCGAGATGATTGACCACCTGCTTTGGCTCTGCACCTGCACTAGGGAGGTATGGAAAAGGATGAAGCAGCTCTGCAAAGTGGTGACTGGCGACAACTGGCTAACCCAGAGAAGTGGCACTGTCCGGGCACCTCACCAAGCACCAGGGGAGCCCGTCGGCCCGCTTCGACCAGTTTGCATCCTGCATCAGGAGCACCCTGGGGAAGGCCAGGAACCTCCTGTTGTCCAGGCACACAGACATAGAGGTAGTAGGCTGTGTGAAAATGGCTCTGAGCAAAACTCCAGACCTACTACCAGGAATCGGTAGTGGAGGATGGAGAGGACATGGCCAAAGCCATTTGGCACAGAGACGTGTGGCATAGGATCTTCCAACTCCCCCCTAGCAGCGAGGGGGTGGTGACAGCAAGGAAGAGACAAGTTGAACTGAGGACAGCAACAGCAGCAGCCGGACAGCAACACGGACAGCAAGTGAACTGAGTATGCGACCTCACAAGCAGGGTGGGGAGGAAAGAAAAGGGTGGCCTGGTCTGAGAGACCAGAAGTTGTTTGTGTGTGTAGAGCGCGACACGGATATTGTAACGGGTCTGGGTGGCAAGTGAGCCTTTGCACAGGTGCACGGGCTGCACAGACATGGTTTTTGTAATACGTTAAGGTTTTTTTGTGGAGTGATACTCGGAGTGTAGCTATATATAACCTCATATATATAAAGACATATATTTTTACAAAAAAAAAAAAAAAAGAAAATGCTCAAGATCCTGGTCTCTTGAGAGCTCAGATCAAGTGTAGTGGCTTCTTACCCTGGCAAGGGAAATACCATGTATATGAGTCCAAGAAGGCAGTTTTCCTGAACCACCTTGCAGGCGAACTGCTCTTCTGGCATGGTTCAGTACCTGCTGAGGTGCAGCGGCTTTAAGCCCAATGTATAGAAATGGCAGTCTCCTCCCTTGCTTGCTCCAAGGACCTTATGGCTGAGGGCAAGCAAAACTCAGGGGCATCCAAGCCCCAAGCCCAGAGGCTAGGGTCTGCAAGTAGGATGCCCGCCAAAGGTTTTGAAAACATCTGAAGCCCCTGGTGCGGGCGGAGGATGTTTGCCGGTAATAGGGCCACTTATGGTTCTGGACTCTTGAATTTGGAATTACTTCTGGTTGATTCGGCCTCAGATACAAACTGAGAAAAAAAAACCCTCAGGATCCTGACAGGGGAAACACCATGTATCAGGGTCCATGAAGGCGGTTTCCTTAAGCGTGCCGGGGGATAACTGCTCTTCTGGCATGGTTTAGTACCCACTGAGTTTTTTAGGCTTTAAGCCCACTTTATGGAAATGGGAGGCTCCTCCCTATCTTGCTCCTGTGGCCATAGGGCGGAGGGCAAGCAAAACTCGGGGGCATCTGCACCCCAAGCCTCTGGGCTCGGGCCTGCTTGTAGGATGCCTGCCAAAGACCTTGGAAACATCTGAAGCTTCAGGTGGGGGTGGAGGATGTTTGCTGGTTATAGGGCCACTTTTGGTTCTGGACTGACTAATGGGTTTGGACTTGATTTGGCTGATTTGTCTTGGAACAGGAAAAATTTCCTTAAAAAAAAAAAAAAAGCTCATCCACCTGGCAGAGGGACACTTGGCACAGGCTCTTTCAAGACCCCCCAGTGGGGAAACGGACAGCGATAGTGAAGAGGACAGCGAGGCAATAGGATCAGAAAACAGGCATGAGGACAGCAGCAGCAACAGCAGCAGCAGGTCCTGCAGTGGAAACAACAGTGAATGAACTGAGTTTTAAGCCCCGTAGTCAGGGACAGGACTAAGAGACAAGGGGTTTTGTGAGGGAGACGATGCCTTGTGGATGGGTGCATGTATTGTAATGGGTGCATATATTGTAATGGGTGCACTTGTTTCTATGGTGGGTTAAGGAGGCAGTGATATGGATATGGATATGCATTAGCTCCTCAAGGTGTAGGTCTGTGTTTAGCTCTGTAGTGCTCTGTGTTTAGTCCCACAGTCCCTGGCTCCTTCCCTCCAGCAGCTTCTGAATGATGGTAGCCATTCCTTGGTGAGAAGAAAGGCTGGCTGGGCCATTTGGCAGCATGATTCAAAGCCTCTACCATCGAAATAAAGGGAAACAAATGCCCTCCTCCCCTCTCATCCTTCCCTGCGGAGTGGCGGCTTTCATACAGATGCATTTTGCTTCCTTTTCATTACGTTGACCTCAAAGGGGCTGGGAGAGGATCATAAAGAGCTGGGTGGACCCTCCCGAGCCCTGCATCATCATTGTTGCAGTGACACGGGACATGGAGTCCCCTCCAAAGGCAAGTTCATTTCAGCCCTAAGAGAAGTGACCACTAAATACTCACAGTCGGGAACCCACCTCCATCTCTCAGTCTGGACCAAGATGCTCCAGCCACAGAAGGGACAGCTAGACTTTCTTTTTCCCTTGCAATATTTTTATTCTTACAGGTAAATGTTTGACATCAAGGACTTTCAAACTCTACAGTAGAGGGTCTGTTCCCCAGGCCATACCCAGGTCACAGAGAAATGGACACAGCTCGGGTTTGCCAGGAACAAAGAAAGGGCAAGGCCGGCTGGGTGAATGGGTCTGCCGGTTAGGAGGACCAACCCTTGAGGGCTTTCCTGAGCCATCAGGGAGTGAGAGCAGCCTGAGACATGGGACCGAGTCTCATCAGCTGCACCTCTGAGGTTAGAAGGCTTGTGGGGGAGGCCGCATATTAGGCCATTGTAACTGCAGTTGTGGGAGCAGAGATCTGTTTGATCACTTCACATAGCTGAGGCTCCTGGAGGACCCCAGGCAACTGGATGGAAGGGGGGGGGGTGGTCCCTTGCTGCACTTTAACCCCTGAGTGCTTGCACCGTGATGAAAGCCCTGCGCCGGCTGCTCATGTGACAGCAAATTTCTGCTGAATGTCATCCACTGTGCAGCACCCCCTCAGACCCTCCGCTTCAGCCTCAGAGAGTTATCCAGGGTGACCAGCTGGCGCAGGAAGCCCCGGTTGGGGATGATGCCACGGTGGTCCTTGACAGTCTTTATGGCTTCCACCAGGGTCATGTGATGGCGGATCATGAGGTAGGCAAGGACCAAGGTGGCCGACCTGCTCACCCCAACAGCACAATGCACAAGGATCCTTCCTGCAGAGAGAAGAGCAGCAACATCATAGCAGGATTTGGGTCTCTAAAGGGAACCTAGGAAAGTGCCCTAGCGCAGTACTGATGAGACAGTCCAATCTTAGTTAGGATACAGGACATGGGACAAGGTGGCAGAGCCGGGTGGAAAATGGAGGAGCAGGAGGGGAATCCAGGGAAAGTTCATCCCAACATCGACAACCAAAATGTTTTGCTTCAGAAATGATGCCTTGTGGGAACTACAGTTTGGAGGCTTTGTGCTCTCTTTCTCGCCTTTGGGATGAATGCACTGCTCAGACAATATCTCCCGTGACCCAGAAGAGTCCATCCACTTGTAAGAGTCAGTGTATTAGGGCAGTCCCAAGACCACGGTGCATCATGGAAAAGGAAGCCTGCTTCCTCTCCCATGAGTCTCTTTCCTCTTCCACTCAGCAGAAACCTGCTGTCACGTGAGTAGCAGGAGCAGGGCTTTCATCACAGTGCAGGCACTCAGCAGTTTAGGAGATAAAGTGCAGCAAGAGCAAGTCTCCTTCCTATCCCTTCCCTGGCTCTTCTGAAGCAAAACATGCTGCAGTGGGTTACCCAGAAAGGTGGTGGATTCTCTATTCTTGGAGGTTTTTAAGGCCCAGCATGACAAAGCCTTAGCTGGGATGATCTAGTTGAGACTGGGCCTGCTTTGAGCAGAGGGTTGGACTAGATGTGACCTCCTGAGGTCCCTTCCAGCCCTCACTTTCCATGTTTCTATGATTCAAAGTCCACCATGGGGTCATAGTCCCTAGAGGAAGAAGGGGCCTAGGACAACAACATCCCAGTTCCCACAGCAGCCTACGGCAGCTTTCTCAATCCAAACGTATACACATGTACATGTACACATACATACACACACACACACACACAGGACCAGGATGTTTTGTTTTCACTGAAAAGTATACATTTCCCAGGGAAAATGAAAAATTAGGTGAAAAGCCAATTTTCCATTGAAAAGCAGTGCTAATGAACATTTTTCTCCCAGCCCTATTCCACAGCTCCTGTGAACCAGGCTCAGCTCTGCCTACTCAGGGACAGAAACCACAGACACCTCTGTTCCTGACTTTCCATACCCCGGGACCTTGATAGTGGGTCAGGTCTCAATATCAGCTGGAGCAGGCCATGGCACTTCGCTAATATGTGCCTGCCACCTTGCACAATGACACGGAGGGGTCAGATAACAGTCAAGAACGGGGGGCTGGGTGTCCTCCCAAATGGGGGGGCAGTGATCTGGATGCACCACCGCACTAGTTAACTTCAATGGAGTTGAGTCTATAGGAGGCCAGATATGAAACCGGGGAGTCATTGCTCTGTTCCAGCTCCCTGGGGCTGAGGAAACAAGGAGGTCAAAGAGGTGATGAGGACTTTGGACACTGCCTTCTCTCCCTCCTGGATAAGGTCCTTCCCTGGCTCATCTCTGCCCCTCACCTCCTCTCTCGCTCAGTGCCTGGTGGATGAAGTCGGCGGCGGGGTAGAAGTGGGGGCTCATGTCGAAGGTGGGCGAATCATGGGCCTCGATGCCCAGGTAGCGGATGCCAGTGCCCTCATAGTACTCGGCACCCCCCCTCCACTTGCTGTGTGAGGCATTGAGGATGTGGGTGATCTGCAGGTGAACCAGCTCACGCCGATTGGCTGCTATATCCCTGTAGGCAGAGGAGAGAATGCAAAGGGTTAAAACAGGGTCCTTGGCGGTGGGGGTTCATGGAGGCTCCACAACACTCAGCACGGAGCAAAGCCTGTTTGGAAGAGGCTTGTGCAAGCACCACCAGCTAGAAGAGGCAGTGATGGTATAGATCAGAGCGGCCTGCTGCATATTTTTGGCTGGGAGGGAAGTGTCCAGAAGGGGATGGAGTTACCTTGGGGACAATTAACATTAGGTAAATTAAGCTGTCTCCACTTTGCAACCCCATGTGATTTTAGCCTGTGTTCCTCAGGTAACTCTTTTAATCCTAATCCACAGCACCCCCCCTCCCATTCCTGGGCTCCCTATGCCACTCAGCCAATGCCCACTGACCCCAACCTACTGCCCCCTGCTATTTCAGTTGTGGGCTCCCACACCCCCAGGGCCCATCAGGATCCATCCATACGATACAAGAAAGAGTCTCCTTGGGGCTGTACGTACTGATCTCCCAGGTACAGTCCAGGCCAGACCTCATCAGCATGGTTACAGGCTGTCTTCCCCGTGTACAGCAGCCTCTCCAACTCGAAGACACTGAGGATGGGGTGGCTGCCGCGGTCTTCTGGAGCCTCTCGGCTGGCTGACCTGGAGCTGCTCCTGGAGAACCTGGACATGAAAGCCATTGGAGCGGCTGTATCCCACAATGCATCCCTGTGGGCTGCTCGAGGCCGGGCCGTGGCCGGGATGCTGCTTTTGCTGCGGTTGCCACCCACTGTCTTATCCTGGAAGCAACAGAGGCTATTAGGGAAACCACATCATCAAATGCTCCCCCATGGGATTCAGCCCTAGAAACCCTCCCAGATCCAGATGTTTTTCCTGGGGCCAGCAACACCAGGAGATGCCAGATCCAGCAACTCCAGGCTGAGATTCATCAGGCCACTGACACTGGAGTTAGCTGCTGCTTCATCAAAATACCCTTCAAGGTGGCTCTACCAAGCAAGCTCTACCTCATGAGCTTGGTGCAGGGAGCAGGGACTCTCCATCCAGGGGTCCCTGACATGAGGAAAGGGAATCACATTTCATCTTCCCTGCCTAGGAGAGCTTGATAATGGCAGAAGCAAGAAAAGGAGAGAGCCGGGTCACAGAGCTCCTCTGCCCCGGGGCAACACTCCCCATTTGCCACGTTCCAGCTCTGTCATGTCTGAGTAGTGCTACGCCGGCCGGAGCAGCTACCTGTAGTTTTGTATTTAGGGAGCAATGCAGTTGTTCAGCTGCTGCTTTCCCCTTCTGAAGAGACCGCAAAGCTTTTCTGCCAGCATAGTGAGGCCAGTTCAGGAACAGGCTGTGCCAGCCTGTGATCAGAGGAGCTGGCATGCGGTGAGAGCTCTGGGTCAGTTGCCAGGGGCTGGGGCTGGGGCTGGGAGGAAAAGCAGGTGGAAGATTTCATATGGAGATACGTGGGGTCTGGCTGAGCTTTGTCTTGCCACATACCAATAAGAGCAGCCCATAGCAAGAAGCAATTTTAACCCCTTTTGGGAGCTCTCTTAACCCCTCTGAAAGATCAGGAGGTGACTGGGGAGAGGGGGGCTTCTCGATTGCTGAGTACAAAGAGACTTATTTTAAAGAAGAGCAGCCAGAGCATGCCGTGCGGTGCTCCAGACCATGCTCCTTCTTTCTCCCACCACCAACAAGCCTCCCAGGATAATCTCACCCAGACCCAGAAGCTAAGCTTCAGCCGTGGGAACATTTTGCTTGCTTGCTGTTGTCCTCCTGAGCACGGCCAACTAACCGCCACG